GTTTAAATCTCTCACTAATTGCTGTTTTCAGCGGGTATGATCTCTGCCTGATGGATTCTGTGGGTTCGGTTGAGGCTTTTGACTCTTGGCAAGGGGATTATTCTAAGCCTTAATTAAGTGCCTGCCTGTGAGGCCGAGTGCCAGTTGCTGACACAGACACAGGCTCCGAAGCTTGGACATGCCCTGCCCATGGCTTGCCCTTCACTCTTCACCCTTTTAATATGCCCACGAGGTAAGAAGACGCACAAACAGTTTCTGTGGTCTAATTTGTTTTGGGGGGTTGATATTTTCATTCTTTTTTCTGTGCAGCCATGACCATTTATCACCTGAGTGAGCTTATACTCAGATGGGCAAAGGATCGATGCTCCTTCAACCATTTCCTCAGTACCGCTGGTTTACTTCCTGTTCTTCAGTTCTTATATCACCAGTCCTCTTCTAATCACTTATCTTGGGCTATTGATGTATTATAAAGAACCTGCCTTGGAACAGAGCGAGAACTTTGGTGTAGTGTGGGGAGTGGGGGAGTGGGTGTGTGGGCAACACAGTATTGCTGAGCTGGCTTTGTCAGCATGGGGAGATGGCTCATCTCTCAGGCTTCCTGCATGTCCCCTCCTCCAGGGTCAGCCTCTCCCAGCATCCATTCAGTGACTCAACAATCAAATAAATACTTAGCAATACCCGCTTCAGGCCCTGAAGATTCCTTACTGCTCAGTCTTCTTTGTGCCTCTTCCCCATCCCCAGAGCCCTCCTGGGCTATTTCTTTCTCTCTGGCCTTCCATCAGTCCTGGTTGTTCCCTTTTGGTCTCCCTCCATCCCTGATGTGGGCAGATCCTCAGTTCCTTCTTCCTGCCCAGCCCTGGCTGACAGTTGGTCCACTGCAGCTGTGCTGTGCAGCTGTGTGGGCTTGCAGTGTGTGCTCAGGGCAGGCCCCTTCAGGGACAGAACACACACACAGTGGGTCCCCAAAGGCAGTAGGATCACCACCTTTCTACTCACAAAGCTTGGAAAAGGCAGATGAGTGTGGCTTGGAGTCCTGGACGGGCTTTAGGAACAAAGACCCTGCTATTACTCTGGGCTTAGGCTGTAGCAGACCATTCAGGGTGATAAGGAATGGGTCAAAAGACCCTGACATGTTAGAAAAAAAAAAAAAAAAAGACTTGGTGCCCTTGAGGATGATTCCCTTTTAGTAACTGAGTAAATCTCAAGACAACACCAGGTTCTCAAAAATGTCTCTCAGAGTAACAGTGCTCCCAGATTTCTCCTTAACCATCCTCACACACAGAATGAGCCCCACTCCTTTTAAAGTCCCTTTGAGGCCATAAAGGTTTTTGAGGACATTTTATGGAGCTGGAGCACAGTTTTACTATTTAAAATTATTATAGGGATCATGGTTACTAAATCTTTATTTTTCTGACAAGTTGTTGGTTATGCCCTTGATTGATTTGAGACCGGGCTTCTGTTCAAGAACACAACCTCCAATTAAATGTGGTCGCTGTGGCAAAAATATGATTCTCCCCATAATGACCCTTTTTGGGTCCATTTCCAAAAACTCGTCCTGGTTAAAACTCAAAGCTGCCTATTCATGTTGGTGAGCAGTCCCGCTGTGGTCACTTGGTGTTCCCATTCAGATGATTAGAGGGTGCCAAGGCTGTGGGCTGGGCCCAGAGGAGAATGGAGGGGAAAGGAAAGAATTCCCCAAGATTGGGTCACCATTTAAAACCAAATACTTTAGAGATGGAGGGAACCTTAGATATCAAGAGCAATTTTCTCTTCAGTAAAGGAAGGAATTACAACCCAAAAAGGTGAGGAAGCCAGGCCAAGCCCAGGCTCTCAGGCCCTGGCTCTCATGCTGTCTCCTCGGGGTGTYGTGGGCATGCACAGGCCCCGCTCTGGTCTTGCTGTGAATCCAGGAGAATGGCCTAAGTCTTGCTTATGGTGTGACCATTTCTTTTGTGAACCCTTCGATGTTTTCCTAAAGTGGATAGAAAATCATGCTTTAATCTCTAAGAGATTTAGGGTCCATTAGGGGTAGACACTTACCACTGCTTTGGTTCTACAGAACTTTTTTCATCAAAAACACAAGTTTATATACAAAGAGCCCTGGAAACAGCCACTCAACTTTTAGACTAAACTTATGGTCTTAAATGTGCCACTTAATCTGTCACGTGAGATCACTGGCAAACCACCCATGCCTCCACTCTTCTCTCAGCTCTGTGGAACGACAACATGATTGCCTTTGTGTGCTGTCATGGACACTCTTGGTGTCCCACCAGGGCTCCCTTAACCAGGCCTATTCCTACTGCCCTGGGTGTTGGCAAGGTTCACAAATAAGGTCTCTGAAGCCCTCAGGTTTTCTTTCTGGATAGCCCAACCTAAGACACCTCCCTTGTAGAGTTGTGAGAGTCAAATAAGTTTCTTTATATGAGCCGGGTGCCTATAATCCCAGCACTTGGGAGGAGGATCACAAGTTCAAAGCCTGCCTCAGCAACTTAGCAAACTAAAAAAAATAGGAGATGGGCTGAGGATGTGGCTCAGTAGATAAGCCCCTCTGGGTTCAATCCTTGGTACCAGAAAAAAAAAAAATGACTCTTTATGTGGGAGGTCCTCTGAAAACCAAAGTTTCATTGAGTCTGTATTCTCTTATTTAAAATTCTCATATTTAAATATTCTCATTTTAAAATCCCTAGAGTATTTTTTTTAACAGGGCATTTCAGAGGTAACTTGGGGTATGTGTAGACAATGAGGAGAAAAGAGAAAAGGACCTAGGGATCATGTCCCTGAGGTCTTGAAGGCTTGCAGTATCCCCAGTTAATCATTGATGCCTCAGGGCCTGATGGGCCACTAAGCTGGCCTGCAGGGGGCCAAGGTGCTTGCGGTTGGAATGCTAGGGTGCCTTTGGTGCTATTAATGATTTATCTCCTCCCACATAGCCAGCTTGGCACCTTTTTTCTTGGAAGCTGAAAGGAGACCTGTTTTCATCTTTGGGAGGGTGGGTCAACCCTGCCTAACATGGTGTAGGAGAAATAAAGATGATTTGCAAATTCACTACCTGACCAGCCTCCCAAGGGGCTTCCTACTGTAGAAGAGGGCTGCCTTAGTTGTTTTCTGAAAATGCAAACAACAATGTTTTAATGTGGGTAGTCATTATCTAATGTCCTGTTAAATGAACCTCTATATCAACATAGTTCACAATGACATGATTTTATATGGGTGTGTGGATCCCCAGGCTGTGTGCTGAGCTCTCCTGTGAGCCGGTATGATATCACTCCCTGATCTGACAGAGGAGACTCAGCTGAGGTCATTGGATACTTTCTTTGTAAATGCAGCTTGGGTTCATGCAGTGAATTTTGCTTTCCCTTTATCTGCATCCATTCTCTCTTGTCTTGGAGTGGATACATGGATCAAAGCTATGTTACCACTATTTCTTAGCACAACTTTATTCTCAGGAGACTTCTATGGTGTTTTCTGTGCATTTTCTAGTGCTCAAGTCCCCAATGCTCTGTCCTCGACTGCACATTGTACACCACACTGAACCCTGCTCCTCCAAAGAGTAGTCCACCCTGAGGAACCTGCTGAGTTTCAGGTGTTTGAGGCCTCTGGGGAACTTACTTTCTTTGAAACTCAAAGGGAATTCTCTTTTTGGAATTTATTTCTGCATTTCCCCTTCTTCTGAGAGTTGTCCTCTCTTTGAATGACTTGCTCTGAGGCTCAATGAGCCAAGTACTTCAGAAAGTGCCGAACACTTCGTGCTCAGTCGATACCTGCTACAAACTATTGTTGGAAAAAGGCAACAGTTCAGTGCAGCACTGTCCCAGGATACCATTCGAGGCATGCGTGGAGTTGCCACTGTTCCAGTAGCCACAGGAAAACAGTAGAGACAGGTGAAATTAACTATTTATTTAAAGCAATATATAAAAGCCACTATGTTTTCAACATGTAATCAGCATTTCTAAATTATCGAGATTTTWAAAAACTTTTGTAGTTGTAGATGGACAGCATGCCTTTATTATATGTGTGTATTTTTGTATGCAGTGCTAAGGATCAAACCCAGTGCCTCACACATGTGAGGCAAGCACTCTGCCACTGAGCCACAACCCCAGCCCTAAATTACTGAGATCTTGTATGTCCTTTTATACTATCTTTAAAAGCCAGTGTGTAGTGTATGCCAACAGGGCAGCTCAGTCTCCCCAGCCACACTGCAAGTGCTCCATTGCTGTGTGTGGCAGGTGGCTATAGACCTCCCTCCACCAGGCCAGTTCCAGGGACCAGCAGCATCAGCAGGGTTGAGAGTTTGTCCCAAGCTGCAGAACCTCCAGCCAGACCTGTACAGGTGGAACGTGCATTTCATTAGGATCCTCAGAGATTCTTCCTGTGTTAAAGTAAGAAGCACTGATTTAGAATCCTCACGCTCACTCTGCACCAGCCTCCCATCCCTGCAGGATTCTGATTTAATGGGTCCAAGCTGGGGTGTGGGCACTGGCATTCTTTGAAAGTCCCCCCCCCCAACATCCCAATTTGCTTTCAGACTTGAGAATCATGTGTATTGTGGCTCTGGAGCCAGAATGCCTGAACTTGCCACTTTCTATCTTTGAGACCTTAGAAAATTACCCCAACTGAGGACATAGCTCAGTTGGTAGAGTGCTTGCCTCACATACACAAGGCCCTGGTTTCAATCCCCAGCACCACCCCCCTCAAAAAAAAAAAAAAAAAAAGGAAAGAAAATGACCCAAACTCTGTACTTCAATTTCCCTCTTCTATAAATTGGGGATAAAAGTAGTTATCTCTTTGGAGGGTTGTTGTGAGGCTTAAATGAGTTAACGTGTGTCAGGCACTCAGGGAACTGGCACAGAGGGAATACTCAGGAGATATAATCTCTCCCCCTTTCTTCTTTTTCTTGAAGGTCCGGGGTTACCCAGAACCCCAGGTGACATGGCACAGAAATGGGCAACCCATCACCAACGGGGGCCGCTTCCTGCTAAACTGTGGTGTCCGAGGGACTTTCAGCCTTGAGATTCATGCTGTCCATGAGGAGGACAAGGGAAAGTACACCTGTGAAGCCCGCAATGGTTGTGGCACCCGCCAGGTGACAGTGGAGTTGACAGTGGAAGGTGAGTCTCGGAAGGCAGAGCCCTGCTGGGAGCTGAGTGAGCTTTCAGTTGCCCAAGGCCTGCAGCTCCTGCCTCTGCCCTCTCCTAGGACGTAGAGGGACTGACTTATAAGAGAAAGCACACCCCATCCTCAGACTCGGGACATCCATCTTAATGGGAGGCATGTGGTCCCCAAGAAAACGGGAGGCACCCCTGGACTGTCAAACTAGGAATCACTTGCTTTCCTGCTCAAGCCTCTGTGGCTTCTCCCCACACTGACATTGACACTGGACCCCTTACAGAGGCCTTCAAAGCCCTGCTGATCTGCCCTAGATCTGCCTTATAACCCTCCTCACCTGCTCTCCCATGGGGGTCATGCCCCCCCCTTCTTGTTTTCCCTTAAGTGAGACCTTGGGGACTTCACTCTGTGTTCCTTGCCTAAAGACAAGCTCTTCCCTCAGTCCCACACCTGACTCATCCTCACATGCTTCAGATTTCCACTCAAAAGTCTGCTCCTTAGACAAATGCTTTCTGAGCAGCTCAGCCCATAACTGTCCATCCTCCCACCACCTCTAGGGCTTATCACTGTCTTATATCTGTCTCCTCCACCCCCACTGCATGGAAGCTCAGGGACACAGAGGAGCTTCACCCTTCCCACTGCCAGCATCTAAAACCTTCCCTGCATAGGTCTACACTGAATATTTGGGAGAATGGGTGGACACCATGTGTCTTCATTAGCATCATCATGAAGTAACACACACCCAGTATAAAAATATTGTGTAACTCCAAAAGATATACAGGATATAAACTCACGATGTGCTAACAATGGTTAGTTATATTGTACTTTTTCCCTCTGTACTTAAAACATCCTATCAACTTTAAAACTTTTATAAGAAGCATTTGACCATAAGTGAAACTGTTTTGTTGTTGTTGTTGTTGTTGTTTTTGCCATGGTGCACCCTGAAGCATGCTGAAGCCACTCCACTAGGAGAGAACGTGTGCAAGTCAGGCCACTGTCTGATTGATACTCAAGAGCTTAATTCTGAAAAGACATAGGGGTCTGCCAGACCCTCCAAAGTAAGATAGGCTTCCCCCAACCCTTCTAGGCCTTTCTAAGCACTTATAAACCAGAGGATCAAACTCATTTTTTTACCTTTCTGAAGTCTGTTCTCCCAACCAGGTTTTCAGGATCTATGAGTGAGGGTTGGGGATGAAGGGATAAGGTAACCATGGAAGGTTCCAGAAAGGGGTGAGATGCACCTGGGCCAGTGGTACTCTGTGTCCTACTTTCCCTGTGTTTCCCCACAGCATGGAAGGGCAGACAAGCTGTTTCACAGAGCAGAGTATGCATAGTTTGGATGCTTTCCTTAAATTCTTTAACCAAGTGACTCACTCATTTCAATGACCTTCAAAGTACCTGTGGCTGGGACACTCCAGGAGGAAAAGGGCCTCTGGTTAGTCTTGGGATGGACCTCATTGTTCCCATTCTGGTGGTGCTGTCCCCTATGTTATTCACTTTACAATGCCCAAACTTTGAGTTGAGGCTCACAAACAAAAATTATGCTGTCCCCCGTTTCTGATCTCCTGTTTCGAGCTGGGGAAATAGAAACTGAGCTATGAGGCAAGGTCCAAAGCCCTTATCTCAACTTTTGCCAATGTGTGACTCTGAACCTCTGGACCTTGGTTTCTGCAGAATAAAGGCTGTGAACTTCATTGTCTCTACCACCTAGAACAGACCTTATTTTCTATGATTCGATTAAGGGAAGATGGGGGCGTTTTAAGAAGGCGGGGGAGGTATATGACACCTAGAAAACTTGAAGCCCTGTTTTTTCAATTCCCATTGTTGAGGAAGTTAGATCTGATGTCTTAACCAAGAGAGAACATTTTAGCAGGTCATGGCTGGGGAAAGGCAGTGGGGCAGGATTGAGGAATGAGAGAAGGCTTAGTCTCTTGACCCTGCCTCTTGGTTTTAATTGGAGAGACTTGGGCCCATTAAGATGCTTTATGCCTTCTAACCTACAGAGGTGGAGAACGGGCTAGAGGCTGCAACCCCTTTCAGATTGAATTTGCCTGTGTACATTCTGCTTTAGCATCAGGCCGATGTCAACTGATGTGTGGTTGGTGGCCCCACCAATATCATGTATTGTGCTTCCTAAGGATGTTCTTACCCAGAAAGAGCAGAGTTCCTGGAATTAAAAGGGTAGTTAATATGTGGAGCCTTTTTACCCTTTACGAGTCAAGTTTAGGAGGCAGTGTTGTACAATGGGAAGAAAGTCTAATAGTCTTGGATTGGAATTTAGCTCTACTGACTTCTGAATATAGTGAAATTAATCTTTCTTAGCCTTATTTCTTCTTCTGTAAGTTGGGGCTGATGGCCGCCCCCAGAGGGTGGTGTAAGGATCAGCCCAGCTACTGGCAAATAGCAGCCAGTGAGAGGAAGCCTTGAAAGAATTTAGGTTGAGCTCAACATCTTAGAGCTACTTACAGAGGGAAACCTGTAAGAGAGAACGCTTCCTAACTTGACTTCCAATTTGGCAATCAGAACCAAGAAACATACGTATCACACATGAGGATAAGTGCCTTGAAAACAGGACCATGCAATGATTCAGGGCCTTCTTCTGTGGAAAGGAGCCATGGTCTGAGCCCTGGAAAGGCTCTTGGAAGCCAACACTGACACCTGCCCACCTCCACAGAGCTTGAGCCCTGAGTGAAGAGCAAGGATGAGACATGTGCTTGCCCTCAGGGAGCTTCCCCACTAGTGGAGGGGACCCAGGTCTGTTCTCTAATACGGTACTGTCCAATTGAGATATAATGTGAGCCACATGTGTCATCTTAAACTTATTAGTAGCTATATTTTAAAAATCACTTGAAATAATTTTAATAGCATATTTTATTTAACTCAACATACCCAAAATATTATTTCAATGTTTAATCAATGTGGAAATTCTTAATAAGATACTTACATTCTAGATTCAGACTAGCTATATTTCAAGTGCTCAGTAACCATGTGGCCAGTGGCTACTGTTTTGCTCATCATAGTTCTGGAAGGTCCCATCTGGGGATAAACAAGGCTTAGATAGAAAATAAGATGAGAAATCCACATGAATGAACAAGGTGGTGGGTAGTCCTGGTCCATCATGTCCACAGAGTGACCTGGAGTATAGGGTAGAGTGAGAATAGGTGCCCAATGCTGCATGTCCCCCATACCTGGTGGTAAGAAGGTCCTTTGCATTTGAGGGAGAGTCATGTCAGGTTTAACTTTAAGGACATGTGCTCAGGAGCCCAGGAAAAGCCAAGTTGGCAGGTGAAGAGGAAATCTGGACTACGGGTGGAACCTTCCAATGTTGCAAGATTTTTCAGTACAAATATACGAATGCATGCATCACYTGGGCAATCTCATTAACCCCAAGATGCTGGTTCCATAGGTCTGGAGCAGAACAGTTATTTGTTCATGTCTTTTCATCCCCACTGCTACCATCCAGRTCCTAGTTGGCAATATCATTGCTTATCTGTTGCAAATGCTCCCACTGGTCTCCCTGCTTCTGTCCATACCTTGCTCTAATGTCCATAATGCTATTTAAAATATCTTTCTAAAATTTCACATCAGATTTTATTACTTCCCTCACTGTGGATCCTCCAGTGATTTACTATTGCCTTTGAATTAAAACCCACACTCCTCAACCAGACCCTGCAGGTGTGAGCTGGCTCTTGACCTCTCCAATATCCCCCTTGCCTACTCATTTCCAGCCACATAGACCTTCCAGCTGTCACAAGATGCCAAGATGCCAAGGTCTTTCTCAGCTGGAGCCATGGCCCAGGCTGCTCCTCACCTCTCTCCACCAAGAAATCCTGCTCATCCTCTAGATTAAAAAGCACTGCTTTGGGGAAACTGTCCCTCATTACCGTAGGTGGCTAGCTTAGGATCTTTCCCAAAGCACTCAGTTCTCACCATTCTTTATGCTTAAGCTTATTTGTGTCTAAATTATACATAAGTATTATTCAATGTTTTTCTTCCCCACTAAACTRTAAACTCCACAAAGGCAAAGATGTATGTCTTTTTGTTTTTTAATCAGCTACTGAATGCACACTGCTGAAACCTAACACAGGGCCTGAATCATAGAGGGTCTGTCCCATAGTAGGAGCTCAGTAAGTATTTGTGGACTGCCTGTGTGGCTTTCTTGAGGACCTCATCGATACTGAAATACTGATTCAGTTCCTAATATATATAAGCATTAGCCAGAGCTCCTATAGGAAGACTGGTACTTACAATGGAAGGTAGAGTAAAATCTGAGCCTCAAGAGAAAGGCACAGTGATTCCAAGAGGAAAGAGGAGTCAGAAACTCTGCAAAAATAATATCCACACACATGGAGCAGTGACCTTTAGTTTCAACTTTTTTTTTTTCACTCGCTTTTTTTTTTTTTTTCCTTGAATATCAAGTTTAATGTTCAACCAGGAGCTCTGATCCAGGCATTTCTCCAGAGGTTTTCTTAAGCCACTGGCTCTAAGTGGAGTCAGTACCACCCTCTAGGGGGCACTTAGGAGAAGCACTTCCCCGGGGTTGGGGAGCTGCTGGGCAAGCACAGGGTGCAGGATGTGCTCACAGTAGGATCTCTCCCCTGTTCCTTACAGTCCTACCAGACACAAACATGTAAGTCAGTGGTTCCTTAGTCCTAAATAACACCAAAAAAGGTTTTCAGGAGGTTGCAAAAATATGCCATATGATTTAAGAAAGGTTCATTACATAGAGGGAAACTTAAAAGGAATAAAGTTATAGCTCAGAATTACTGAAAAATTTACTCTGTGCACATTTTCTACTAAATCATATATATACAAAATTAGTTTGTATTCTTATATATATGTAGAACACAGTTACTATGCTGTTGTCATGTATTATTGCCTTGAAAATATGGATAAGAGGAGACTTGAAACTCAATAGGTTTAAAACTAAAGAGCATTAAATTGGTGGAGACACATGAAATGTAGGTGTCTCATTGAATTTTTTTTTTTTTTTTTTGGTACAGGGATTGAACCCAGGGGGACTCAACCACTGCACCACATCCCCAGCCCTTTTTGTATTTTTATTTATTTTTTTAATTTTAGAGACAGAGTCTCACTGAGTTTCTTAGGGCCTCTCTAAGTTGCTGAGTCTGGCTTGGAACTCATGTTTCTCCTGCCTCAGTCCCCAGAGCCTCTGGGATTATAGGCATGCGCCACCATGCCTGGCTCATGGGATTTTACTGTTAACCTTACATATCTTAAAAACTTTGATGTAAGGTGCTGAATCTCTGTTATAAACAGAATGCATGTTAAAGCTGGTTATTTTGTGGTTTTATCTTAACATTGCTCCTCTATGACCTCTTGTTATTACTTCTCCTTTGTTCAAAGGGTTCATGGAATGTGTGTTTTAAGGTATGGTAGGATTGTAAGACTCTTTCCTACAATATCTCCTTTTAAGGTTATTTTCTTCTTTCTTTTTTTTATATAACATCTGCTCTGTTGTTTACCCTAGCACTATTTTTATTCTATTTTCCACCTGTGTGCTTTCATTTTCCTTAACTACTTGTACAGCATGGTTTTTGATCATTCACCTTTAAATCCAAACACGCACTATGAGCTGATGCAAACTCTGAGCATTTCCTGGTCTTTTCGTGTGTCTGAGCATGTACATATTGAAATAGTCACATGTGAACAGTTACATGTTGAACTACAGGGGATGATAATTTGCTTTCCTTCTGTGTCTCCATATTTTTATTAAGGTTTCACATTTATTTTCTTTTTGAAATCATATGTATGGATAATTAGCAGTGAACTTTGATTCTGGATGCACAGGGACACTACTAAATGTTATAAGACGTGCACTTTATTCTGATAGAGAGGGAGTACTCTTCTAGGCAGGCCTTAAGAAACATGAAGTTGGCTCACAAGGCGACTGCTTCCTAGATTTCCGGAACACTCAGGGTCCACTCCTGTTGGCCTGGCATGTGTACATTGAGAGACTGTCTGCCTGAATGATAAATTATGTCACTGCACCTTTTAAGAAGAATTTCTCCTCCTCAGTCTTGACCACATTATTCATCTTTTGAGCAGTATGTTCTGCTTGCATTCCATCTTTCCATATCCTTTGATGGAAAAGGGCCAGATTTAATTTTATCCCTCCTCTGTTGAACTTTTCACACCTAAAACCTGATAGGCTTTCTCTTGTACTCATCCTTGAAAAATCTAAGCCAAATTGTTAAAATACCTTCAGTGTCTTGGTCTTTTCCTTGCCAACTTGACCCTGTCTTCAGTCCTCCTAACTCACCCTTCTATTTTTGACCTTCTACTTTAATCCCYTTTCCGCTTATTTTTCAACCTGGCCTTCCTGTTCTGCCAGATTTTCATACTTTTGCAAAATTAATTTTGCCTTATCTGACAATTTGCAACTTAAATTTTTTTCCTATTAATAGGCCCTGTTAGTTACTTTAGCCCAAATTCTCTTTGTATTGATCTTAACTCTCTGGTGTTAACTCACATTAAAATAAGTGTTCCTCARTTCCACTTTTAGCTGGCTGCTTTACATGTTGCCCTTGAGTTATGCCATAAATTGCTCTTRCTCAGACACAGAAGCACCTCTAAATAGCATTCTTTCGCAAGTCTGTARAGAAATGCCACCTTTTTTCTTTTCTTTTTAAAGAATTTTGTTCTTTGAATTATGAGTTTCCAAAATGCTCAGTCTAATTTTTTTTAACCTGTGGTAAAATACACGTTAAAAAAAATACCCTTTTAACCATTTTAAGATGTGCCATTAAGTTCAGTCACAATGTTGTGCAACTATTACTACTGTCTAGTTCCAGAACGATTTTTATTACCTCAAATGGAAATCCCATACGCATTGAGTTTTCTCTCCTCCCCAAGGCTCTGGCAACTACTGATACCTTCTTTCTCTATGGATTTGCTTCTTTTAAACATTTCATATGAATGGAATCCTACAATATGTGGCCTTTGCGGTCTGTCCCTTCACTTGGCATACTTTGATTTCAGTGTTCATTCATGTCATAGCGTGTATCAGTACTTCATTCCTTTTTATGGCTTGTGTGGATAGATGGATTTTGTTGATCCTTTCATCAGTTGATCAGTCTGATTTTTATCCTATATCCTTTTTTACTCCAAGATGATATGAGTGGCACAGTAGTATTGATAGGTGCAATGAGAGCGTTAGTAGGGCCTGTGTGGGTAATGTGACTGTATGGAGCATGTGTTGGAAGCCCTATCTACCCTCATTTAGGTGCCAGATTTTACTTTCTCTGTCTCTTACCCTCCATTTTTTTCCTCTTGTGACTAGTTCATGTTTTGTTTATTTATTTACTATGATACTTTTCGATTTTAGAAAACACATCTGAATTAAATTACTGAGAGTCCAAAACAATCACAATAACTATCATTTTGATATCTTTTCTATTGATTATTTTCTTGTGTTTGGTGTTATATTTTTACCCAATGATGATCATCTTGAATATATAATTTTGTATGTCACTCTTTGTTCATAATTTTTTTTTACAAAGATTTGAATACCTACAATGTGCTGGGGAATGTTCTGGATAACCCTATGAGTGAATAAGAAGTTCTGGTGGGGTTATGGCTTGAAGGCTTATCGGCATGTAGGTGATATTTAAAGCTATGGGGCTAAAATTCCCTAGGAGAGAGTAGCAAGAGCTGAGGAAATGCCCAGGGCCAGCCCTAGGGGACCCCAGCAGCAGAGGCTAAGGAGAAGAGTGGAGGGGGGATGAGAAACCTGGAAAAGCAGGAGAATCTAGAAGAGAAAGTGCCCTAAGGGAGTGGCCTACATGCCAAATGGTATGATCATCCAAGTGATATGGGAACAGAGGATTAACCATTGGGTTTGACAAGATGGTAGTCAGGTTGGAGCTCAGTGGAGTGGTGACGATCATAGCCTGTTTGTTGTCCACCAGGAGCAAATGAGGTACTATTTTAACATATTTCTGCATGTTTCATTTATTCTTAAAAAATTTAATGGAAGAACAAAATGTAACTACATTTTCTTTGTACTGTGTGACATCTAAGTACAAATAAGACCAAAATGCACATCTCTGTAATTTCTATTTTTATTTTCTATTTTTAGCATTTTATCCTTTGGAGTCCCAAAAAGGGAGGTTCTGGTCCAAGAGCCGAGAGTTTTTTCATTTTATTTTGTTATTATTGTTGGGTATTTTGTTGTTGTTATTGTTGTTTTGGTACCAAGAATTGAACCCAGGAGCACTTAACCACTGAGCCACATCCATAGCCCTTTAAAAAAAATAAAAAATTGTTTTTTGAGACAGGTTTCACTGAGTTACCTTAGGCCTCACTAAGTTGCTGAGGCTGGCTTTGAACGCACAATACTCCTGCCTCAGCCTCCTGAGCCGCTGAGATTACATGTGGGCGTGCGCCATAGCTCCCAGCTCAGAGCAGAGCATCTTTAAAGTTTGATTTTTACTTGCTCAAATACTTTCCAGAAGGACTGAATGGTTTACCTTTCTCTTGCAGTGTGTGAGGGCCAGCTTTTTTTTTTTTTTCCTGTATTTAACATCTAGATCCTTCAGAACAAGTCTCTCTCTCTTTTTTTTTTTTTATCAGTTTAGAAATTCTTTTAACCTTGAACAGAGAATGGAATGACAAGAACCAGATCACATTATGGAACAAAAACTAGACCAAGCTCACTGAGTATTATGTTAAACAGAAATGCATGTGTAGTCCTGTCCAGTCATATGTGATGCAGGTGCTTTATGTTGATCTTTATGTTGCAGGAAGTTCTGGTGAAACCTCAAAACAGGTGTGGCTGAGGGATGTACTCAGCCATGGTCTTCCTCCTCCACTCCTGCATTCCTATGCAGTCATATAAATGTGATCTGTGCAAGAATTTAAAGCAGTTTACCCTTTCCGATTAACACCCTGAAAATTACCCATTGTGACTACCTGCTAGTATCACAAAATGACTTACACCCTTTCCTGCATGCCTTGGGTAGGCTTTTATAAAAATTCCTTGCTTGCAACAAAATTAGAACAACTTCCAGGGTGCTCACCATCTTAAAAATATCCTCTCTTCCTCCTCCTCYGTGTCATGTCTCAAGAAACAAACAACAACAACAACAAAACAAAAACAAAAACAAAAAAACATCAACCCACTACTGCATAGTTATTTCCTGGTCCCATTATGAATTGTCTCTCCCCAGCTATAGCAACTGGATAAAACCAGCTGACCCCAGCTGTGTTCCTGAGTTTGCTATTTAACTGCTTCCTGCCCATTCAGAGTTAGCAGCACCTRATGTGGCAAATTCTCAGCCAGGACTGGCAGTGCCAAGTGGGACAGCATAGTAGATTCCCTGGGAGATGCTGGCCCCACTGTAGCTCATCTGCAGTGACTTGTCTGTTTCATTCCAGCTTGTTGCTATTTGATGGGCCTTCCATGGAAGGATGAAGTGTTGGTTGTGTCTGTCATGAGTAGATATGAAGAGAGATATGCCTGGAAATCTCCCTTCTCCTACACTGGGTCTGTACTGGAGAGGTCCTGGATCACCACAGATAATCCCCAGTGGAAGATCCTGAGTTACACCTCCAAACTTAGCAGAGTGGTGAAATGTTCTAGAACCTAGCAGACCTGAGTAAATTCCTGCACTGTTCCTGGCTCTGTGAACTTGTRTGGGTAACTTCTTTCACACTTTTCTCAACCATTTAAAAAATAGGATAGTGTAGTACCAGCCTCATTAAGTTATTGCAAGAAATTCTTATGGTAATGTGTTCATGCCCACAGTGACTCTACACATGCTTATGTTACCATCATTGTCTCACCCTGCCCCTGTTGTTGAATCTTCATGTCATTGCTTCATGTTGGTGGCTCCAACATGACTGTTCAGCCCTCTTTCTGTTTCACTTCTTCACAGAGAGTTTTGGGAAGAAGCGTGATCGACCCGTTGTTTCCAAAACCTTGGGGTAAGTTCCAGGATGTTCGAGCCGGATTCAGGGTTGGGTTTGGTTTTTCTGCTGACTAGACCAGCACATAGGTTGTAATTATTAAAGAGTGGGAACCTAGTGAAGCGAATCTTTCCCACAGTACCTCCTGACCTGGTAAATTCTGTGGATAGCCCCCTTTGACTGGTCCACCTGCTAAATGGTAAGGAAGTGGGAGGCATGGCTATAGTCTGCAGAGAACTCTGTCAAGGCAATAATCAAAATATTTAAATGCGCAGACTTAGAAAGGGCAAGTAATAGTAGTTTCTGTAACAAAGAAGCCCCAAATTGCAATGGCTTACCATAGGGAAAGCTTTTTGTCCCAGGAAGGGGGAGTTCATTTCACATATTCTTGAGCAGGTGGAGAGTCTTGCATGTTCTCTTCCAGCAGCCCAGGCTTCCTCCATTTTATTGCTCCATCTCCTGGAATCTGCATCTAGCCAGTGGTGTGGGCAAGAAAGAAGGTGGAAAATCTTGTGGGAGGTTTCTATGAGTCAGCCCTGGAATTTGCAACAACACCTCTGCTCATGGTCATTGGCCAAAACCCAGACTTTGACCAGAGCTCAGTTGAATTCAGGTGTCCCTAACTGCAAGGGAGACTAGTAAATGAAGTGTAGCTGCAAGCCCAAATGGTACAGGAAATAGGTTTTGGTGCCATACATTCTTCCAGAAGTGGCAGAAGAAATTGTTTAAGGTCTAGAGTCGGGTAGGCTACCCTTGAATGGTTTCTGATTACAACTTAAAAGATTTGGAACAGGTGGAGGGAGGAGGATCAACTTGCTGCCTTGTTTAAGGACTGGATTTTCTTGTGATCTCTTTCCAGGGGAAGATATTCAGCCTCAGCAGGGTCTTGTCCTAGCATCTGGGGTGAGTGTCCACCAAAGTTTGCTACCAAGCTGGGCCGAGCAATGGCCAGAGAAGGACAGATGGGGCGATTCTCTTGCAAGATCACTGGCCGGCCACAACCACAGGTCACCTGGCTCAAGGTGAGATTTCATCTTCCCTGACTCTGACCCAGGCCAGGTGGCCCTGAGAGCTCGGCGTTAGACCCTGGGACTACTGGGAGTCTGTCACTTCAGACAGTTCCTTCTGTTCCATCCGTAGGGGGTTCACAAGGTTCCTTTGTATGCTTGATGACGATGCATGGTTTCGCCCCTCTTTGTGTTCTCTCCTGTTGCTCTAATTCTTGTGCTCAAGAAATATCATGAAATTTCTGAGCAAGACGGACCTGAACACCTCGAGGGTGGAATAGGAAGTTAGGATGGTAGGCTTGAGGTCACAGCTCCCTGTGTCACAAAGCATGTGGCACTGTACAAGTCATTTGATCTCTTGGAACACTGTTTCCTTATCTGTGAGGTGGGAACAATACCACCTAACTCAAAATGTTGTGGAGACTCCATGTGAAAGTGCTTCATAAATCATTCAGGCCTGGGTGAAGGGAATGCAGTGGCCAGCGGGGGGGGGGGGGGGGGGGGGGGGGGGGGGGGGGGGGGGGGGGGGGGGGGGGGGGGGGGGGGGGGGGGGGGGGGGGATGTGGAGGCAGGACAGCAGCATTGGAGTGGGACAGGCAGTGAAGAACAAAGGAACAGCGGGGGTCAAGGCCAGGGAGAGTAGGTTTCCTGGAGTTGAAACTCCTGGATAAAGATGGGTGTTAGGACACCTTTTGCCTACTTTCTAATTCTTCCACACTCACCCTGGGAAAAGCATAAAAGGAATAGGAAAGCAATGAAGCACCGAAGTAAGGAATATAGGGCTCCCTATCTCAAGCTAGGGCTCCTATGAAACAGTTTCCAGTGCCTTCTCCAAGCTGGACCCAACACCACACCATAGACACAACCTCAAGTCATGCCCTCTGAGCACGTTCACAGAGCCCCGAGCAGAGGGCTGTGCCGCCCAGTATCTGTCCCACAGGATTGACAGGAGGTGGGAGGACAGTGCCTAAAGGTGAGCAGACTTCTGTGACCAAGCCACCCTTCTGCCATCCACAGGGAAACGTCCCACTGCAGCCAAGTGCCCGTGTGACTATGTCTGAGAAGAATGGGATGCAGGTTCTGGAAATCCATGAGGTCACCCAGGATGATGTGGGCGTGTACACGTGCATGGTGGTGAACGGGTCAGGAAAGGCCTCCATGTCAGCTGAGCTCTCCATCCCAGGTAGGTGCGGCACTATGCAGGGGGACCCCTTCCAGGTGTGTGAACACCCCCCACCCCAGGATGCTTGCTCATTGCACATCTGATGTGTATACATGTGGCACACTTACCCACGCATCCCCAGGGGCAGCGTCTTTAACAGGAAGAAAAGGAGATGGGCCTGCAGTACAGTTCTGGCCCTAGAGGAAGATGCCCTGAGCTGGCTGCCCATTTAATTTGTGTCCCTACACATGACCCCACCCCTTTGTCTTCAGTTCTTCCTTCTCACCCAGACACCTTTTTTGTACCTCTAATTGCCAATTAGAAGAGTGGACATTGCTAACGTCTTGCTATCACCCCTTGCCTAAAACTTAACTTGTTATCTACTTTGTCCTTCAAACCAGATGTTCCCGCAACTTAACTCTTTCTCCTTAGTATTCCCATTTTCCCTTCCACCAGACTGGACATGTTAGCATCCCATTTTATCCCCACTCTTCCTTTCTAGAACCATCAGCCCTTGTCACTTGTTCCTTTGAGATCTGAACATGCGTCCTCCTTACAGTTCTCTTGGTTCCTCTAGGTCCAGTCTGGGGAAGCCAGAGCATGTGGGTGGGAAGGGGTGGACATCACTTCACTGGGCATGGTAGCCAATGGTCACCAGTTTCATTAGTCACGGAAGTTGGCTCTGGCTTGAGGATCAGGAAGGCTGCTTCCTTCTTCCTCCCTTTTTTCCCTCTTCCCTTGGGTGATTTTTCTCTTTTGCATCTCCTTCCTTTCTCAGAAACTATGCCACCTTGCCCCTTTTGCTTTTTTGGCTACATTACACAGAAAGAAATTTGTTGGACACCACAACCCAGAACATATTTGTGCGTAGAAACGTATGTAACTGAAACAAGTTTCATGAAACAGCCTTGATGTATGTACAGTGCACACTGGCATTATCTTTCTTTTTTTTTTAATACCAGGGATTGAACTCAGGGGTGCTTAACCACTGAGCAACATCCTCAGTCCTTTTATTTTATTTTATTTTTATTTGTTCTGATTAGTTATACATGACAGCAGAATGCATTTCGATTCATTGTACACAAATGGAGCACAAATTTCACTGATCTGGTTGTATACCATGCAGAGTTGCACCACATGTGTAGTAATACATGTACCTAGGGTAATGATGTCCATCTCATTCCATCATCTTTCCTGCTCCCATGCCCTCTTCCTTCCTCTCCCTACCTTGTGCCCAATGTTCTTCCATTCTTCCCGTGCCCCTTGCCATTATGGATCAGCATCTACTTACTAGAGAGAACATTCAGCCTTTGGTTTTTGGGATTCACTTACTTCACTTAGCATGATATTCTTCAGCTCCATCCATTTACCTGAAAATGCCATAATTTTATTCTCTTTTAATGCTGAGTAATATTCCATTGTGTATATACCACCATTTCTTTATCCATTCATTTGTTGAAGGACATCTAGGTTGGTTCCACAGTTTAGCTATTGTGAATTGAGCTGATATGAACATTGATGTGGGTGCACCACTATAGTATGCTGATTTTAAGTCCTATGGGTATAGACGAGGAGTGGGATAGCTGGATCAAATGGTGGTTCCATTCTAAGTTTTCTAAGGAATCTCCAAACTTCTAGAATTAATAAGTGAATTCAACAAAGTAGCAGGATATAAAATCAATACCTACAAATCAAATGCATTTCTATACATCAGTTATGAACTCTCAGAAAGAGAAATTAGGAAAACTACTCCATTCACAATAGCCTCAAAAACAAAAAACAACAACAAAAAAAAACCCTTGGGAATCAATCTAACAAAGAGGTGAAAGACTTATACAATGAAAACTACAGAACACTAAAGAAATATATTGAAGAAGACCTTAGAAGATGGAAAGATCTCCCATATTCTATTTTATTTTTCAAATTTTGAGACAGAGTCAGAGAAGTTGCTTAGGGCCTCGCTAAATTGCTGAGGCTGGCTGTGAACTCAAGATCCTCCTGCCTCAGCCTCCCAAGCCGCTGAGATTATAGGTGTGCACCACCATGCCTGGCCATGCTGGTATTTTCTATTCCATTGGACAGCATTAAAACAAGAAGTCCTGGTCCTGATCAAAGAATGTAACTTYGCAACAAGCTCTGGGTCTAGAGCCACTGTCAGTCATCTGGAACAGGGTTCTAGCTCCTTTCCCTTTACTCACCTACCATTGAATTTAAAAGCCACTCCCCGCTAAGGTTCTTAATGATAAAGTGATGCACTACCTGGGATTTGTTTTGAAGTACTCAAAAAAAAAAAAAAAATCAAACGAAACAAAACAAAAAGGGGGAGATGAGACTGGGGACATATTGCTGTTTCCTGAATCTTGTGATGGCTCTCAGGGTTTGTGACAGCCTTCTCTCTAGTATTGTATATTCTGGAATTTTCTATGATAAAAGTTTAAAAATAACATGGCAGGAAACAAGTATATTGTATGCCTTTTCTTGGAAGAAAGGAATAAAATTTCACTTTCTCCGTGTGCTTTTTAAAGTATGTATTTGTCAAAACAAAACACTTTTGGGGCCTATTCTTGAGGGTAAGTTAGAAGTGTTTGGGTTTGACATTTTTCTAGATGGGTTCTTGTTGGTTGGTTTGTCCCTGCACTGATTTTTATTTCCTTCTGTTTAATGCAAGGGAGCAGATTCCATGGCCCAGGGCACCAGCCACCGTCAAAAAGCCCAGCAAGTGCAGGCCCTGGAACTTCTATGCTTTCCAGGACTAGAAGTTTCTCAGACAACTCAAAAAGTTCAGCACCAGGGAAGCCAGAAGCAGCGAGGCAGGGTGAGGCCAGAGTGACTGGGAAGTGCTTGGGACATGGAAACTCTGTAATAAAGGAAAGAGATGTGGTCTTATTGTTTTCTCTTCTTGGTCTATAAAATATTCCACTAACTCTCTGTCTCCTCTCCCTCTTCTTCCAGGTTTGAACAATACCAATAGGTAGGTCTAAGCTTTGTGATGGTCACATTTTCCATCTTGAAATGCCCCACAAGAAAAGAATGATGTCATCAAGAAATGCATTGAGCTTCCAAGTTGTGGTACAGGGAGGAGGATTGACTGTGTGGGGTGTTCTTTTGTTTGTGTTTTGCTCTGTTCTCCTTTTGTAATATGCCATCCAGTTCTACATCAGGGTTATCATTGGTTCTGAGACTCTTGAAAGCTCCGTGCCACCCTCTGCCTCAGTATCCTCCCGGTACCTTTCCAGGTTAGCCATGTTCAGGAAGGCGAGAATCCCCCCACTCACCCAGCCAGTGCTCATGAGCTGCCTCCTGTCCTGTATGTGGACTGCGAGTGCAGTCTACTGTAGAGAAGGGCTTCAAACATTCACAAATACCTAATTACAACTGGGGTCCCTCTGGGAGGAAGAATGACAGAGAGAGATGCTAATTTGGATTTCAGGGCCAGCAATGCCCTTTCTGAAAACTTCATATTCTAGCTCAGACCTGTGAAGTATAATATTAGCACATGAAGAAAAGTTCAGGAAAAACATGTTCCAAACAGAGGGTCCAACATKTGTGAAAACTCTTGAGGTGAGAGGTGGGCTATGGGGCCCCCAAAGAAGACCTGTGTGGCTGCAGTCTAAACAGTGTCTTGAGAGGGTCCTAAGACAGTGCTCTCTTCGGGGAATTGTATGAGGCTTAGTTTTATTCTTTTGGCAGTGCTTGCTAGACAAGTACACTGAGCTGTGTCCCTGGCCCCCAGTTTTATTCTTAATAGAGTGGAAAGCTGTTGGGAAACCCTTGAGCTTCAGGTGACACAATTCGATTAATGTTTTTACAAGATTGACTACAGTTGCTCTGTGGAACTGGATTGGAGAAGGGCTATGTGGACAAGGAGAACCAACTGGGTGGTTTGAACTCAGGGCACCAGGGAGAAGAGAAATGTAGATAAAATAGGCTCTGGATGGAGGCACAGGACAGGGACAGGTCAAGAATGGCTGCAGTGCTGTGTCTTGGCAAAGTAAATAAACTGCAAAGAAATGTTTTTGCTCTTAATTGCCCCTAATTAGTGGGCTTTTGTGATCCTGGAATCTGGCTTATAATGAGTGATGCTTGTGGATAACCACATGATGATTCTGTCCCTCCTGCTCCTCCCCACTTCTAACCCCACTGCCACCACACAGGTCATTTGGGAGAAGAGCAGAGGTCCCCAATTCAGATGTCAGGAAGGAGGTAACCAATGGAGTCTCAAAGGGGCCGAAACTGGACAGCCTGGAGACTGCAGCTGCAAGTAATAACTGCTCCAGCCCCCAGGGAGGACAGTCCCCCATCTGCACCTCAAACAGCCAGCCACAGCCCCTGCAGGAACCCAAGGTGATGCTGACTGGGGTCTCACCTAGAATCCCCATACCCCCTCCCCTCTCTTTAGTCCCCTCTGTCTAGTCCAAAATACCTCCTTTCTCCTCATAATATTCTCCAGTTCCTTCTATTTACCACAGAACCCTGTCCTGCAGAAGACTTCCAGCTCCATCACCCTGCAAGCCACAAAAGTCCAGCCGGAACAAAGAGCACCAATCATGGGAACCCTGTCTCCTAGGGAAGAGATGAGTCCATCTGTTTCCCAGCCAGCCACCCTTTCCACAGGACTCTTGGACCTGGGAAGCACAGAAGTTGTGAGCAAGGTTGCTACCAGGAAAATCCCCATGGAGAGCCAGAGCCATTCAGCATGGCCCAAGTTTGAGAGTAAGCCCCAAAGCCAGGAAGTCGGTGAAGACCAAGCAGTCAAATTTAGGTGTGAGGGTGAGTAGAGCTGATCAAGGTTACTGGTCCCCAAATGTAGTCCCTTGGTGGCCAGTTCCTTCCTTCAGCATGCAGCTGGTCTGTACCTTCTATATCCACCCATCCCCTTGGACTAGGTGCCCCAGGAAGCCAGAGGTCTTCCCTTCAGGAAGGACTCAGTTTACAAACATCCTTTATTTTAGAGAGATAGCCAATGTTGGTCTATTGTTGCTTGCAACATAGAGCATAGGCCCTAGGCCCTAATTCTGACTACCCTAGGTGAACAAAACTCTTCTCCTCCTCCTCATCAAAACAGTAAACAGTAGGTCTCCTCTTTCCTTCCTTCCTGGCTTTGGCTGACCAGGAGACCTGGCCCATCACTCCTGCATTTCTCCTCCACAAGGACCTTGACTATCTCAAGACGTTGGAACCTTATGGAACCTAGGGTTAGGAGTAAGGAAACAGGCTCAGAAGTGGGAAGGCCATCCCACCATCCCAGTCTAAGCTSTTCCTTTGGAGTCAGGCTTTCCTCACCCTGCCCCACAGTGTGTTTTTGCGGTAGGCTCATATTCTTCACCTGTCCCTGTAGTTTCAGGGATCCCAAAGCCTGAAGTCACCTGGTTCCTGGAAGACGTTCCAGTGAGCAGACAAGAAGGCACCATTGAGATTTATGAAGATAACGGGTCCCATTTCCTCTGCCTGCTGAGAGCTCGGACCAAGGACAGTGGGAAGTACAGCTGCACAGCCTCTAATAGCCAAGGCCAGGTGTCCTGCAGCTGGACCCTTCTAGTGAAAAGTGAGTACATTCCTCCAGGTCCCCCTGGATCCTCAGCAGGAGGACTATTCATGGGTGCTTCACAGGTTGCAGATGGTTCATCTCCTATAGCCCTACACCCAGGCCTGAGTGTAAACAGCTCCACCCACGTGCTGAGGCCAAATATATTGCTCTCCATCAGTGATTCTTTTTATTTTAATAAATTTTTTATTTGTTCTAATTAGTTACACATGACCATAGAATGCACTTTGACACATCATACATACATGGAGTATAACTTCTCATTTGTCTAGTTGTAGAGTTACATGGGTCATGAAATCATACATGCACATAGGGTAATAATGTCCAGCTCACTCTACTATCATTTCTATCCTTAAACCACCTCCCCGCTCTTTAGTCCCCTCTGTCTAGTCCAAAATACCTCCTTTCTCCTCATTCCCCTTATTGTGAATTAGCATCTTTATATCAGAGAAAACATTTGGCCTTTGGTTCTTTGGGATTGGCTTACTTTTCTTAGCATAATATTCTCCAATTCCATCCATTTACTGGCAAATGTCACAATTTCATTCTTCTGTAAGGCTGAGTAATATTCCATTTGTGTGTGTGTGTGTGTGTGTGTGTGTGTATAATTTTCCTTTCATTCATCTGTTGAAGGGCACCTACTTTGGTTCCATAGTTTAGCTGTTGTGAATTGAGCTGCTATAAACATTGATGTGGCTGCATCACTGCAGTATGCTGATTTTAATTTTTTTTCTCAACAGTGATTCTTAATCAGGGGTGCACATCAGGATCACCTCAAAATAAGCATGCCCAGCCCCACTCCCAACCTAGCTGAGTGCTACCTCTTTTAGGTTTCTCAGCTGTCCAAGTAGTGCCATGACTCAATATTCGTGACCTCAGAGCACCAAGTATTCACTAAATGTACAGATTTAGGGAAATGTGAGATGATGTGGGATCCCACATCTTTTATGTTTATTATAGTATCTGATTATTAAAGTAATACATGCTAATTTGGGGGCATTTAAACCACATATAATCTTATGACTTCAAAATAAATATTGTTTTTTGAACAAAATCAGCTCTGTGCTATTAGTATGCTATCTTCTATCCTAGTTTGCTCATGTAACAAACATCTTTATTATTTAATATTCTGTTATTATTATTATTTCTATATTATTTAATTATTTATGCTTTCAAGCATGATTTATGAATGGAGATATAATATTGTTGAATTTTTCAAATCAGTTATTTCTATTTTTTACTATGATAAATAGGATTGGGGGTAGAGTACTTACCTAACATGGATGAGGCCCTTGGTTCAATCCCTAGCACTATAAGTAAAAGAAAACAAAAAAAAACTATGATAAATATTCTTTTTTTTTAAGAGAGAGAGAGAGAGAGAGATTTTTTTAAATATTTATTTAATTTTTAGTTTTCAGCGGACACAGCATCTTTGTTTTTGTATGTGGTGCTGAGGATCAAACCCGGCCGCACACATGCCAGGTGAGCGCGCTACCGCTTGAGCCACATCCCCAGCCCTGATAAATATTCTAATATCCATTTATCTTTCTATAAAATCTCCCCCTTAACTATAAATGCATACTATGGGGCCTAGACCCCTGGAATACCATTGAGAACTGATTAAACAATACCACAGGAGTAGAATCAGCAAGCTGCAGGCTATTGGAAACTCTATGGACAAATAACCATTGCCCATTCTTTTCAACAAAGAAAGTGTATGCAAAACAAGGAAGAGAGATGGGGAGAAGGAATAAGCTATAGGAAATTCAGATTAGAAGATATGAAAGTGGGCTGGGGTTGTGGCTCAGTGGTAGAGCGCTTGCCTAGCATGTGTGAGACACTGGGTTCCAGTCTTAGCACCACTTATAAATAAATAAATGTCCATCAATAACTATTAAAAATATTTTTTAAAAAAGAATAAGATACAAAAGTGACATAGCTAATTATAATTTATGGACCTTATATGAATCCTGGCTGAAACAATTAAGAGATTGTAAGGGGGCTGGGCTGTAGCTCAGTGGCAGAGCGTTTGCCTAGCACGTGTGAGGCACTGGTTCAATCCTTAGCACCWCATAAAAATAAAATAAAGGCATGCTGTTCATCTACAACTACAAAAAWWTTTTTTTTAAATGATTATGAGACCACCAGCAAAAATTTAAATATCGACAAGATTCTTTGATATAAAAGAACTCTATTTTAAGTAGTAATGGTGATCTCATGGTTTTTTTTTAAGTTCAAACATTGTAGAGATACAAAATGAGTTATTATTAGTGAAATGATGATTTTTGATATATGCCTTGGAAATAATCCACATTTGGGAGGCATTGATAGGGTTATCAATGAAGCAATATCGGTACATATAAATGAAAAATTTAAAGAAAGATGTGCAGAGGGATTCACTTTGTCATTTTCTCTACACTGTTTCTTGTGCATTTTTAATTTCCACGACAAATGCCCTAGTATAACACCCTAGAATACCAGGCTACCTTTGTCAACTCTTATGGTGAAATGTGTTCAAGATAACACTACTAATGAAAAAGAGCAAAGTGCAAGCTGCACATATCATATGTCATTTGTGTTAAAGGAAAAAAAGATCTTYGTATGTACATGCAAAAGATGCTTTTATGTATCATAAAACATTTCTGGAAGGTCACACAAATGGCCCCTAAGACAGGGAGACCCATGGGAAAGAGTTGGAGGGGATTTTGCTGTTGGTTCCCTTCTTAACTGGGATTCTAGCTGCGCTGGTTCATTCCTTTGCAAGAGGTATCCCCCATTCCAGGTGGGAGTGCCTGGAGGCGAGCTCACAGGTCAGAGTTCAGCCTCATCAGCCTGGCCAGGGCTCTGTGTCTGGGCAGGGGACAGACATGAGGTGTCAGGTTCACCAAAGGTTAATGATATTACCCAGAGAGCCTGTTTATTCTATGCCTTCATCTTTCTGTGAGTTTATCTAAATCTTGCAAGAGACAGTTTCTAGCCTGTTCCCATCTTGGGGCAATTCACCTCAGTCTGGCTCCCTATCTTATTTTGTTTTCTGTGGCARCTTTACTGAGGTATATTTATATAACATAAAAGCCATCCTTTAAAAATGTGTAATTAACTGAGTTTTAATATATCCAGAGTTGTGTGGCTGTCACCACATCTAATTTTAGAACACTTTCTCCTGTCGGCTATTAGACACTATTTGTTTTCCCATTCCCCCACTAATTTACTTCCTGTCTCTRTGGATTTGCTTGTTWTGAACATTTCATATAAACAGAATCATACAATATGTGATCTTTTGTGACTGGYTTCTTTCTCTAAGCAGAATGACTTCAAGGATCAGGTATATTATAGCCCATGCCAGTAGCTTCATTCATCTTCGTGGTGAATAACATTCCATGTATGGGGATAGCATGTTTTGTTTACCCACTCATCCACTCCATGGATACCTATTTTTAATGCCTGTTTTTAATTTTGAGGGTATATTCCTATAAGTGCAATTGTTGGGTCATGTGGTAATACCTTTTGAGGGACTGACAGATTGTTGTCCACAGTGACTGCACCATTTTACATCCCACCAGCAGTGTACAAGTGTTCCAGTTTCTCCACAGTCTCACCAACACTTGTTATTCTCTACTTTTTAATTACAGCCTCCCACGGTCATCTCCTTGTGATTTTGGTTTGCATTTCCCTGATGACTTGTGATGCTGAGCATTATTTTATGTGCTTATCGTCTTCTTTGGGGAAATACATGTCCTATCCATTTTTTAACTAGGTCATTTTAAAATTATTTTTTTATTTTGTATATTCTTAAAGATAGTAGACCTTATTCTGATCAATTCTAAACAGGTTTTGGGGACATATGACCTGATATCTATGCAGGACAAATATGCCTGAGATGGAAACAATCAGAGGGTCATCCTTGTCCTCAATTATCGTTGGCATTTTTCAGGATATTTTTTTATGGTGTCAACTTGACTCTCCCTTTTGAATCTTTGTGGGTATGAGCCTAAGAGGGAAGAGAAACCCCTTTCTCAGGTTTTCTGTTGCAACTGGCTCCATGCCTAGCTTCATCCTGAAGCAGCATTCTGGGGATGTGGGGCCACCAGCCAAATAAGACTTTTTTTTTTTTTTTTAAAGAGCATGTGGAAGGAGCTGCAAAAGCCCCCTTTCTGGTCTTGCCTGGGATTTTGATCCATAAAAGATGTTTGTTCACTTTCTATTTCTTCCTTTGGACAGAAACAGGTAGTGTTTCCTAAATGCATCTCCCTCCTTACTTCCAAATAGGTCTGTTTTTTTGCTTTGGGATTTCCGATGGAGGAAAAAGATCCACTCTTATTGTTGTGTTTTAAGAGTTCTTTATATATTCTGGATACAAKTCCCTTACCAGATATATGATTTGTAATTATTTTCTCCCATTTTGTAAAATTTGGATTATTAGTCAGATTTTAATTGCTGTGACAAAATATCTGAGATAAAACAATTTAAGTAAATGTTTATTTGGCTCATGATTCAGTTTCAGAGGTTTTAGTTCATGGTCAGTGGCTCCATTTTGCTTATGGATTTGTGGTGAGACAATATATGATGATAGAAATGTGTGGAGGAAGAAATTGCTTACCTCATAGCAGCTGGGAGGCAAAGAAAAAATAGGGAATGGCCAGGGTCCCAGTATCCCCTTTAAGGACATTTCTCCAGCAACTTAACTTCCTCCCATTAGGCCCCACCTCCTAAATTCTACCCCTCCCCCAGTAGCACCATGGACTGGAAACCAAACTTTCAACACATGGTCTTTGGGAGAAATTCCAGATCCAAACTATAGCATGGGATTTACTTGTCATATGTGGCCACTAAAGTCTCTGCTAGTTGCTTAGTGATTGGTAAATAATTRGATAGAAGTTCCTTAAATGCCTTAAGCCAGCATGTCTCCAGCCCTCTCSGAGGGCTTCTGTGTGTGTTGGGGCATATCTTCAGTGCTCTAGCTGGCATGCTACAGTTCTGCCTTCGCCTTTACTTCCTGCATTCTCAGAGACTTTGGGTCAGCCAGAGGTGACAGTAGGGCCACCTCAGGTCTTTCCTGGGCATGTGCACAGCCCTGCACCTGCATGTGGCCTTCTAGGCTCCCAGGGGTATGTCAGAATTTTTCAAAGCCCAGTTTTTTCTTTTAAGATTTTTGGTCAGACTTCTTAGCCCCATCTGACATTGCTGCCTKAGTAGTTGTGATGTCAAGCCATTGTCATTGATTGTTTTGTACAAACACACTGAGATAGCACTGTTGACATAGATCAAGCTCTGAGTCAGTTCAAATAAGGACAGTCCTGAAAATGCAGCCCTGGAAGGAGCCAGACCTGTCCAACAGTGGTGGTTCTCTTTGGAATGAGGTTTTTCAGGAGCTCTGACCCCATTCTGTCCCCGCTAGGTGGCTGGTTTTTACAGATTACCCTAGTTGCTGCTRGTTTTCAAAGCTGCCACAAACCTTGCTGTTCTTACTGAGATTTAGATGGAATTGGGGGTGGCGGTTTGGTTCTAGTATTCATTTGTTTGTTCATAAATGAATGCTCCTCAGAAAGTTGCAAGCCTTTGGTTAATCTCCAGAATTCTGGAAAAACTGATTTAGACTCTCCGTGCTAGTATTCTCACTGCTTTTATGCTTTACTCTGCCATTCCAGAAGTGCTTCGAGGCCCCCTGTCTTGTCCTACAACTTCTCCAGCCTCCACAAGGGCTGGTTCACTCTCGACAGTTTACCAAGATGCAGGTCATGTGACATGTGCTCTGTTAGCATCTACTACCAACACCCTTCCTCCCTCCCTCCTTCCCCCCTCCTTCTTTTTTTCCTTCCTTCCTTCCTTCTTCCTCTCACTGCAGGAAAGCTGTTTCCCCTACCCAGACCTCTTCCTGTCCCTTCCCTCTATGAAGGTCTTACTTAACCACAATTTCCTCTGCCTTCCTTTTGCCTCTCTTTTCTCCCTCCAGGCATGCCCTTTGTCTTCCCTGTGCAGAAAAGAAAAGAAACCCTTTGCTCTGCTTGGTGACCTCAAACACTCTCTTTCACCCTCAAACTATACTTGCTCTCCAAGTAGTGGAGTTCTGTGCACAGCTTCCTTTTGATGATAGTAATAAACACCCACTGAGKATGCTCTGTGGGCCAGGCTTTGTGCTAATGCTGTACTTGGGTTATTTCATTTAATTAGTCCAAAAGTCTTAAGAGAAAATTATAGTTACACCCATTTTCCTGAGGGTACTAAACTGCAGTTAGGTTAAATGACTTGTCCAGGGTCAAATGCCTTACAGAAGATGGCATATTCTAACCCTAGTTGTCCTGGCACCAAAGCCCATCRCCTTTTTGATGACTCCTGAGGCATTCCTCAAGTGAGGGAATTTGACACTGACTGGGGGAGGGTAGAGATGGGGCCTCCCTACACCTCTTGGGTTGTCTGTCTGTCCCTTCCTCTGTGCTGAGCCTGCCCAGAGGCACTGTCATTCTGTCTTGTCGGCTGCTCTTCCACTGCCTAACCTTYCCTTAGGGTCTAGAGGACAAGGTATGGCTGTAGAGTCAGGGAGCCGGCTCTGAAACCTGCCCCACCTTGGACTTGACTATGGGAAAGGATGAACTGCACCTCTAAAGTGAGCTAAAGATGGCAGCCTTGGCCGTATCTTCACAGTCACATCTAGAAGAGTGCCTGGCACATAGTAGGCTCTCTATTACTTGTTTTCTTGTCCACAATCTGCTGTGATGTAGTATGGCTTTCCCCTCATCTACGCATTCAACAGTCTCTGCTGAAAAGCACCAGGGATATGTCTTCTCATCACTGAATCCAGCCACGCTTTCTCACCCCTCAGCTATCTTGACCCATTGCACCATGTTCTAATTGGTGTAAAGTAAATGATCTGTTCCTACTTTTCTTAATTAAAGGCTCCAAACCGTCAAGTGTTTCCCAGTTCATTGATATAGAMGCCTTCTGGAAAGTTCAGCTTAGAGGTTCTCCAAAAATAGAATGTACATAAGAATCAATGCATATTTCCAGGTCCCAGCAGTTCTGAATCCTTGTTCAGACCACACTTGGAAAACTAAAACACATGTCAGTCTTTGTCATTTGATTCATTCCTGGAAYTGGAAAAAATAGTAATCATAATTTAAAATTGAAATAGCTTCACTGTAGGCATCTGGTCTCTACAAGTAAAAATCTATCAAGACTTTGTAATCACTATAGGACATTAGGAGAATATGTCCCCAGGACAGCAAAGGGTCAAGACCAGACAGGAGCTGCCTGAGTCAGAGGAGAGAGAGCAGGCAGGGCCAGGTCCTGAGCACCCCAGATCTAAGGTGCTTTGTGCCTGTGAAAAACCCCTGGCCATCCCCCTGCTTGGGACTCAGGTGTCTGATGCTGCTGTTTCCAAAGTGTGAAGGTAGACAGGATATAGCCAATATTCCAAGCATGCCCAGTGTCTAGGGCAGCATGGCATCTGCCTGTGAGACTTGGGGTGCCCATGATCAGTCACAAGAGTGGGCAAACTGTGATCTGAGATGTTCTGTCTATTCTTTGCCCCCCCAGGGTTGGTTACAATGGGGGTAGCCCCCTCATTCTCCAGTGTCTTAAAGGACTGCACTGTTGTCGAGGGCCAGGATTTTGTGCTGCAGTGCTCCGTACAGGGGAACCCAGTGCCCCAGATCACTTGGCTGCTCAATGGTGAGTCTCCGGTTCCCAGCCCCATGAGCCCTCGAGCCCTGCCTTGAATTCTCAGTTCTCCCTCTGTACCATTTGCCCCCTGGAAGCCTAGGGTATGGAGAGAACTCAGAAAGTGAGTCTAGTACCCAGTGACTGAGCAAGTTTCTCCCCTGCCAGAGCCTGAGTTCCTCATTGGCACAGTGGGAACAATGCCATTGTCCTTGGAGGGGATGGTTGTGAAATTAAAGGAGTCCATGTATGTGAAGTGGTTAATGAGGTGCCTGGCACATGGGTGCACACACAATTTAATTTCTTTCCCAACAGTCAGACCTATCAGAGTTCCTTGGTAAATATTTGTTGAGTCAATATACAAACAATAAATGAATAAACTAGTAGCCACACCAGAAGTTGTTGTGGGAGCTTGCCTTTTATTTAGTGGCTGGTGGTTCTGGGGGACCTAGATTGGTAGTTCTTTTCTWTTTCTTTTTTTTTAAATATTTTTTCAGTTGTCAATGGATCTTTATTTTATGTTATTTCTATGTGGTACTGAGAATCGAACCCAGTGTCTCACACATGCTAGGCAGGTGTGCTACCACTGAGCCACAACCCCACCCCGTAGTTCTTTCTAATGTTAATTTTAGTTCTATAGAGACATGCAATTTTTTTTCAAGTAAGGTCCTTTAAAAAAATTAATCACCGTATATTATCATCCTTTTGTTTTTAAAAAGGCCTTCTAATTTCAAAGGTATGGAAGAACTCTGATTTTATAACTGAGAACAAATCCATTAAATGAGTGAGACTGGGTAGGGCCTGCTTTGGGGAGATACAGAGAGTCAGGAGGTATGGGCATTGGCCTTCCCCACCACAGAGTGGTCTGGAGGCCTGAAACACCCCAACTTTACACCTCTGAGTATTGACTCTTTTAGTTATGGGAATTTGGGGGAAACAGAAGGTTTGGAGTCTCTATTAGCTCTTGCCTTTGGTAAAATAGGCTCCTTAAGAGGCAACACCCATCCCCTGTGCACCCAATTGTGTCTATGTCATGACACATGGCCTGGGAACCTTCCATGTTGGTAGAGTTTGCTCATGCTTTGCTAGAAAGTATCTTTGAAAAAGTGCCATGTACTCTTCCCATATGAAGTCAGCTTGGTCAGATAAGAGAACTAAGGTCTGCCATCCCTCCTCTCACACCTCACCTAAAGACAGAAATCCTGGGGGGCCCTCTGACTGGAAGGACACCGCCTCCTTGAGGCTAGAACAGAATATGGACATAAGGACTAAACTTCTACCTGGTGCAAAGTCTAGAACTAGGGTCAATAAACATATTATCTCAAGGACCAGATAGTAARTATTTTCAGCTTTTTGAGCCATACAACCTGTATGAGCACTAGACTCTGCTGTTGCAGCATAAAAACAGTATAGATGCTGTATGAGTGTGGCTGTGTTGCATTATAACTTTATGGACAATGAAATGGGAATTTCAGGTCATTTTCATGAGAGGAATTTTTCTTTCATTTTTTTCAACCATTAAAAATATGTAAAAGCTATTCTTAATTTACAGACTGTACAAAATAGGCCACGGGTATGGAACCCCTGGTTTACACCTCTCAGGAATGAATTTAGTGAATCTTGGTATTTCCACACTCTTACCACTAGGGGGAGATTGTGCTCAAGTTGGGTTTCTTGACTGTGAACTACTTCCTGTCCAACTCCCCCCAAGTCAAGTTTCATGACTCCCCATTCTGACTCCCTAAGCTAACAGCTCCCTGTTTGTGGGACCAAAATGGGTTTGCTGAAGTAAAAAGAGAGCTCTTACAATGCTTGTCTGCACATTTGGACAGTGGAGGCTTTCCTTAACTGCAGTAAGGAAAGTGTTAGCAATCTCAAGGAAGAGGTTTTGGGGGGTGTCATTAACACCAAAAAACAAAACAAAACAAAAAAAMMCCAAAAAAACAAAAACAAACAAATAAATAATAAAGCAAATAGCAGKGTTTAATCCACTCAGTGGCAGGGTCCCAGCCCCTGCCTTTCCCACCAGCCCCACTCATATGAGGGTTGGGAAGATTCTCTTTCCTCCAGCCCYGTGGCAGGCTGGGCAGTCTCTTTGCCAAACCATCATGGAGACATGAAGTGTTGCTATGTGCAAGAAGAAAACATTGCATTACAGGGAAAGCATTTCTTTTTGTACTTTTTCCCACCCCCTGCAGCCACCCCCAATTTTATGAAGTGTAAACCAGGACTCTGAGGCCTGGCAAGGAAAAGAACTGACAGTTGCTTCCTATATGGCAGATGGACACATTCCTGCTCTAAGGCCAGAATCTTCAGTAATGAGATTTTTTTTTTCCTGGAAATTAAAGGTTACATCCTGGAATGATAAAGTCCCAGGAACATACAGTATTAAGGAAACTACTGAAGTTCATTGCATGCACTCCTGTCTCCACACAGGACTTTGTGTAAAGTGACATGAATAAAGGGYTTCTCAAAGAAGGTTTTAGTTCCCCATATTTATCTTTTCATAAATGCTAAAATGCACCTAATTCCACAGAAGAAATGAACCTAATTGCTACATTAGAGTGGGGATACAGAATTGCTTTCTGATAAATATCAGCAGTGGGAAATTCAGTCATTATTTCTGGAGACATCTAAAAGGAACTGGGAGCCACRTGCTCTGTCTAGGCGAGGTCCGCTCTGAGCCTGGGCTATGGGCCAAATGACCCTGTAAGATCCCTTCCAGGYGCAGAATGCTGTGAAGTGGACAGTATGGAATGGGGACTATTAACTTAGCACAGAATGCCCAGAACTGTGTCCCTTTCCCTTCTGCCCTCCTAATTCCTCCAGAATCTCTTTCCCCTGTCTTTCCAAGTCCAGGCTTGCCCTCCCTGGGCTGGGCCAGCCCCAATGTCATGACAGCAGCAGCCCTGCTGAGGACAGGTGCTCCCTGGTCTGAGCTTCCTGTGCTTCCCTCCACAGGGAAGCCCATCCAGTATGCTCACTCCACCTGCAAGGCYGGAGTGGCTGAGCTCAACGTCCTGGATGCCCTGCCAGAGGACAACGGCACCTACACCTGTCTGGCCGAAAACTCCTTAGGACAAGTGTCTTGCAGCGCCAAGGTCACSGTCCATGGTAGGAGCCTACAGACACCTTTCCTGCAGACATGTCTGCTCTGGAGGAAGGACACTTTTGTAGAAAATAGTATTACTGGCCCACATCAGGGAGCAGAGGTACAGATGATATTGCTGCACCCCACTCCTGATCAGCAGTAGCTACCAAAGCACAGGCTGCCAGAACCTCCTAGGCTCAGAGGAGGGATTCAAGCGACAGCTCTAAACCTGAAGTCAGGCAGGTGGAGGAGATGGGCTCCAGGGACTCATGTGACTGGGGTGTGCCAGTGGGAGGAGCCAATCTCCTGCCCCTTCACCCCGTCAGAGCCAGGGGAAATGCAGGGGAAAGAGACAGGGGCTCCCCTGGATTCAGAAGCTCCAGATCYGGTAGGAGGAGAACTACACTCTCCAAGAAGGCTTAGGAGGAGTACCCCATATCCCCTGAGCATGTAGGGGTCTTACAAATGACCCACTGTGTCCTGGGGACACTAGGTAACAGAGTGTGGGTATTGAGGCCTCTAGAGGGTTGCAGGTTGTCCCCTTCTCCTTCTGCCTCTGCTCCTCCTCAGCACCCCAGACTTGTTTTTATGCGCCACCAGCCTGTGTCCAGTAATCTGATTATCACAGTCATTCATTGATTGGGCAAGCACTTAGTCCCCAGGAATCACAGGGAGCCATAGACTCAAGACTGAGCTGTGTGGGCTGTGGAATCAGGCATGGTGACAGTTCCCGGGCAGGTGCTTCTTGAGTCCAGGGCCTTCAGGTAAGCCARTTTCCTCTCTCACCTGGGGCCTGTGCCCCCAGTGCCTGAGCATAACTGGGTTCTCYGGGTGCTTGGGCTGGCTGAGTGTGTCTTCCCTACCAGGCTAGCAGGGGACCATGCCTCCTCCTTTGTCCCCAAGAGCTCAGGCCTCTCAGGAAAGCCCCCTATAATGTAAGTAGAGAGCTGTGAGGCTGCAGGTGATGGTTTTACAGAAAAGGGAAAAGGGGGAAAATGTTTGTAGCCTAATATTTCACTTCACCTCTGTCACTCACTGAGACCGGTGGCTCCGGGGCTGGGGTGCTGTCTGTTTTACACAGAAGAGTCTGGAGGTCTGTCTCATGAAGCCAGGGTCACTCTGCCAAGTGCAGCACGCTGGCAAGTAAAGCTGGCCTTCTGAGCCCAGGTCCTGGGACATGAAGCCCAGGCTATTCTGTTCAGGCCCTTTTTTGGCATGTGCTTCCCCTATCCCAAAGCAGCACTGTCCATCCCTTAGGGACAAAGGAACCCACAACCATGGAGAATGTGGCTGATGCTGACTCTGTGAGGCTCTCCGCCCGGAGTGGACCTGATTTCTCTGAAGAAATGCTTCAGCACAGAGTCACTGGTGAACTGCCCCTTCCTTCCAGGAAGCCTTCTCCATGCGGGTCAGAGCTGCCGCGGGCCCTGGGAGTTTCCCAGCCAAAATCCTGGTGGACACATTTCTCCCAGTTATCCTCATAGTTCTAATTTCATGGCTCACAGGGGCCTTGGGAGATTGTGGCATGAGATTTTTGAGGGAGCAAGCATGGCTCAGAGCCTGGTCTCCAGGGGCCTGGGGAACAGCTCTTCCCTCCCACCAGCTGCCTTTTCTCAGGGGTCCGTGTGGCACATCCCAAGTCTATAAAGGGCCAGAGAACAGCACACAATGGGCCAGGCAGCTCTGCCTTCTCCCTTCTGAGATTCTACTCACCAGCCTCAGCCAACCGCCAGCTAATCCAGGGCCTGTCCTGGGTTGTCTGTGTTTAGATTGGATTAGAGAGMCGCAGCTGAGCTATGGGTGTATAGAGGTGGGGTCTCCGGATGAGGGRCAGGAACTCTTTGGGGCTATTCTGACTCCTGGGTCTTGGGGGGAGAATGGGGTGGGGAGCGAATGATCGCCCATCCACGTGTGTTTTAAAGTAGGAAGAGAGGTCTCGGCAAGGACTCTGCCAGTCCCCTCAGGTTTGTTCTAAGCGCAGCTTGCGTGAGTGAGAACCCTCTGGTGGGGGATTTACGGGCCTGTCAAGGCCAGACAGAGGCTCAGATACCATAAATGGTGAACGAGGCTGAGACGCAGCCTTGTGCTCATGCCCAGCAGCCTTTGGGCTGTCTCTGCACAGGGYTGGACAGGGCAAACCTGGCACAGTGACACGGCTGGCAGTGCCCCAAGGCACTCAGGGGGCTTGGGTCTGCGTCCTGCAACATCCTCAGCTGTGAAGGAGCTCTTGTTTTCTTGGCAGCTCCTTTGGCTCCAGGTCCTCTGGGGACCGGTGGAGGCCCTTGTTTCCTACTGCCTTGACTGCTGCTCCAGTGTCTCCTGTAGCTGCCTAGGCCTCACTCCGTCACCCCCCATTATGGCACCCATTAATGGGGGATTGTATGGATGTGGCACTGACTGCCTGATGTGACCCCTGCTCAGCACTTACTAGCCCTGAYGCCTGGGTGTGAGCCAGGACTCGTTTTCCTCTTCTGTGAAATGGGGATTCAAGTGGTCACTCATGGTACCGTGAGGATTAAACAAATGAATACATTTAGTGTCTCTAGAACACAGGAAGTGCTGATTATGTGCTGCTATGACAAATGTCCCAACTCTTAAACAAGATAAAAATATTCTGGGGAGTGCTTTTACCAAAAGGTGGGCTTGCTACAGTATTGTCTGGAAAAGAGAGGAGTGAATCAGAGAAGGGAGGTGCTGAGGTTGTGACCTAAAGCCATGGACTCCTGTGCCTCATCCCAAGGTCTRTGGTCACAAGATGGCGCCATTCAGCAGGGTTTCTCCCTCCAGTTGCCTTTCCTCAGAGAGGAGCCAGTTCTGGGGRCAGCTCTGCAGGAGACAAGCTCCATCTGAGAGTTTAGCAGATGTCATGCTGAACGCCAGATGTGGGCACTCTTTCTCACCTCTTTATCCTTTTGCCAAGGTTTTGCAATCACCCAGAGTCTGTGGCATTTTCTGAGGCCACTCAGTGCCCTGCCTCTCCTCCTCTGTTGCTCTCTTCTCCCCAAAGCTCCACAAATGTCAAGTTCTCTGGAAGCCTGTCCTGATCTCTCCAGAATGGGTTCTCTGAACACCCTGGACTCTCTTATCATGCTTATTTATCAACAAATCTTTATTTATGCCAGGCATTGTACTAGAGAAACTACGATAAGCAACTCAGACAAGGACCCTGCCTTCGTGGTTCTTATGTTCTGGTGGGGACAGTCAACACCTGGTTTAATTTCAAATCCTGGAAAGTCCTGTTAAGAAAACAAGTGAGGGGACTGGGTGTGTGGCTCAGTGGTAGAGCGCTTGCCTAGCACATGTGAAACACTGGGATTGATCCTCAGCACCACATAAAAATAAATAAATACAATAATGATATTATGTCCCTCTACATTAAAAAAAAATAAAATAAAACAAACAGCATGAGAATAGGGGAGGGCAGTGGGAGGGGTACAATTTTAGTTGTGAGGTAAAGGAAGCTTCAGAGACTTGGAAAAGGGTGCCCACATGCAAAGGCCCTGAGTCAGGAGCAAGGTGACAGCACAGGCCAGTGTGGCCTGTGCCAAGTGAGCCAGTGGCAGAGTGGCAGAACCTGAGTTCACAGAGAGAAGCAGGGTGCATCATACAGAGCCTCTAGGGGTAGGTAGAAGTGGTTTTTCCAAATATGAAATCTGACAGTAATTGCTTATTCCTTGTCTATTCTACCCCTGCAGGGAGGGCCCAGGTCTTCCCTACTGTGCAGAACAGGGCCTGCCTCATGAAAGGTGATCAATGACCCACCAAGAGGATGAGCCTGTCAGGGGCCTTCCCTCAGTTTCTCGCTTTTCTGGGTGCCTGGTGCTCACTGGGGTGTGCAGGAGATCCACAAGTAGTTTTATTTTTTTAAATATACTTTTTAGTTGTAGATGGACACAATACCTTTATTTTATTTATTTATTTTTATGTGGTGCTGAGGCTTGAACTCACATGTGCTAYGCAAGTGCACTACCTCTGAGCCATAACTCCAGCCCCACTACTAGCTTTTGAGGATCCTCAACAAATATGCCTTCTTTCCTCCCTGCAGACAGGGGGAGGAAAAGTCCCCAATATTAACCAGGTGATAGTCTTCCCTCTTAACCTCAGATAAAGCATAATGAGTGATTAACCCAGGAAGTGATTAACTGTAGAGCCCAGGAAGATCTGAAATAGAGAAGGAATTCACTGTTTGGGGGTAATGGCCGGGGGTGCTTCTTAGGCGAGAATATTTTAAGTTTATTTTACCCTGGAGCATCTTTCCTAAAATTCCTAAATGACTCGATTTATTAATAATCTGCTAATTGTACCCCGTTTTGACATAGTTTCTCTGTCTAACGATTTGTTTATTTAACCAAAGGCCTACTGGGGCCTATTAGAGGCACCCAAGGACATAAAGTGTGAATAAGCTTTTAAACAGATGATCTCTAAAATAAGAAATAAAATTTAGTCAGCGTATTCATTAGAGTATTTGTTGTGAGGAAGAGCCCCTAAGAAAGAAGGCACACCCCAGTGAAGACAGCCATTCACTTCACACTCAAAACATCAGAGGTGCAGTTATTTTAGATTGATACCAGGCACCCTGTGAGGCCACTCTTCCCAAGTTGTACACAGGTTGGACACAAACTGGTGTCAGGCATGACCCTGCCTTCTGTGAGCTAAAAATATTGACAACTTTTTAAATAGTCATATAGGCTAAAGAGAAATTTACTGAAAGAGAAAGATAAACATTGGTTTTAACTTGTCTTTGTTTTAATATATCAAGAACCTTAGTCCACCCAGAACAACTGCCAACAAGCCCTTTAAGCTCTAAGAAGGCAAACACTTAATTAAATGTTAAATCAACGTGCAACCAATATTTTAGTTTTGTAGAGGTTGAGTCCAGAATAGGATATGTATAGTATGTGGGTCCTTCACGTTCTAGAAGAATTGTGAGGGTGGAGATATGCACATTCGTGTACATATCATAGAACTGGAGCCTCATTTTACTAACTGGACAATTATCGAGATAGTATCTGTCTACTTCTAC